TCAATTTTAACTGGCTATACCTTGTCAAATTCTTCTGTTAGCTGGACATTATCTCAACAACTTATTTTCTTTTACAGTGGCATTTAGACTGGTCAGGTTCCCAATAGGTACCAGCTGACATACTCAAGCTAAAAAACTCTAGGAATGTTAAGTAAAGGACTATTTACATGGCATATTAATTTCCTAGGGCTGCTGTACTACAGACTAGGTGGCTTAAACAGAAGAAATTTATTGCCTCACAGTTTGGGAGGCCAAAAGTCTAAGATCAAGATGTCAGCAGGGTTGTTCCTTACGAAGTTTGTGAAGGAGAATCTGTTCCTGTCTTCTCTCTTAGCTTCTGATGATTTCTGGCAATCTTTGACATCCCTTGACTTGTAGATGCATCACCCCCAATCTCCACCTTCACTTTAAATGGCATTCTCCTTTTGTGTATGTCTCTGTGTCCAAGTTCCTCCCCCCACTTTTTTTTCTAAAAACACAGTTAGTTTGGATTAGGGCCCACCCTAAGAACTTTTATGGTAACTTGATCATCTACAAAGATCATGTTTTCAAATAAAGTCATGGTTATAGGCGCTGAAAATTAAGACTGCATCATCCTTTAGGAGGACATGATTCAACCCATAACACATAGTATAGATGGGGTGTGGAAGAATTGCAGCATGCAATGTAGTTAGGACAGAACTGTTTCTACCTCTGGGACTCAAAAGATAAAGGAAGGACCCAGATACTAGAAGAGGCAGGAGAAAGTTGTGTATAGAAGCTGCTTCGAGAGAAGCAGCGACCTTTCGTTGAGCAGCAGAGCCAGGTACAGAGACCCAGGAGAGAGGGACCTTCTTTCCAATCTCCTACCAGGTCTTCTGTTGGCCCAACCCAACCAGGAGTCAGAGAACAAGGAATCCTTTTGCAATAATCAACATAAATCAATGTTTTAGAAACACTTCTAACTTTTAGTATAATCTTATTGTTTTTAATTTTGGTCTTTTGCAATTTTAAGAGAAACTTATTTGGAGGATTAGTTTACATTAGCTTGGAAGATTCTTGTCTTATTTTTCTTTTAGTAGTGGGGAGAAAGTGCAGGGCTTAAGAGGAATAACTCGATGGATGAAGAAGTTTCTTTCCTCACTTACACTGGCTTGTTCAGAATCTTGCCTGGACTCTTGGCTCCACCATTTACTAAATGGTTGGAAATGGCATGCTTGCCAAGCATGTTTGCTATTGTGTAAAATAAGGAGGGCTGGAGTTGAAGCCAGGAAGTTAGTGATGTTGTATGTGATGTGACTTCTCCCATAACCTCTCAGATCTTCAGTAAAACCACCAAAATATGACATATTTTGGGGAAAGCAGGTTTTGTATTTGGATGACACAGGATGAATGCAAAGCAAGGTAGAGAAAACCAAGAGGAAGGAAGCCATTAGGAATTCACAGAAACTGCAGAGATCGTTCTGAACCAGACTAGGCATCAAATTGAAATCTTAAACCAAGTTGACCTAAGTCTGCAAGGGATAGTAGGACCTCAGCTGACAGGCTGGTTACCCCTAAAATTCTCCAAGGATTTTTATGCTTTAAAACTTTTCATTTCATTTTTTAAATAATCCCTCTAGTCAAGAACTTCAGGTCTAAATTTAAATTCTTATTTCTGTAATTTCAGCTGAACCTAGTAGTTGTAGGAATAACCATAATAGCTGCCAGGTATAAACAATGGAGTCAGACTGTCTGGGTTTGAGTCTCAGCTACACTACATATAAGCTCAGGTAAATTACTCACACTCTTGAAACTATAGTCTTTTCATCCATAAAATGGGATTATGATGTCAACATCCACCATAAGGCAGTTGTGACTATCAAATACATTAATGTATACAAAAAACAGATATCTAACACAGAGCAAGTCCTTGATGATATTTGTTATTAATATCATTACCATATGTTGAGTGTTGTGCTGTTTAAATAAATCATCATATTTCATGCTCACAGTAACCCTCAGAATTAGCTGTTTTAATCTTCAGTTTACATATAAGGAAATTAAAAGTCAGATAACTTAAATAATAAAAAATAGCTATTTTATCCATGTCCTGCTACATTTATTGTGGGGTCAATGTGATCATGGAGAAATAGATGTTTGAATGAATAAATTTCCTCCTCTGACCTTTTGTGGACCCAGAGAAGGGAAAGAAATAATTTGTCTCTTAATTCTGCCATTTCTTTACTGTCTACTAACACTTTCAAACGAAGGATTTGAGTGCCAATTTCATTAATGTTCTATTTTCCTTTTCTTCCAGAGAAGCAATAAAAATATTTATATGAAAGCGATGTAAACCATACTGCTTCCCAAGCTCCAACACCTTGATTTTTTTCTTTCTTGACTCTTCTACAAGCCGTCTTTGGAACATAATCTATGCCAATTGAAACTAGCTATCAAAATAAATTAAAAATACAATTTTGCAATTTCCAAACCAAACATTCTATAAAAACTCTAATAAATAACATCCACTTTTCCTTCTCTTGTTAATATAAGTTTATTCTCCCAAAAAGTAATCTAATCTTCTTGGTAAAATTTTTCCTACAGAAATCCATACTCTTTCTGGCTCAATTTCCTTACTCATTTCCAATTTTTCTTCTCAGAATGTGTTTTGCGATTCTTTAAAACTGACATTAGATAATCTAAATGGTCCTGACTACAAACACTTTCTCTGTTTTGGAGCTGAGTCTGTAACTGAAGTTAGTATTAAGTCCCATTGAACAGAGCCAGTCCTTCTTGTAGCTACAGAATTGCTCTGCTGAGACAGTCATTGGGACATAATGACCATCAAACGTCCACACTTTCCATTTCTCACCTACTGCTGCTTCTAATCTTCTGCTAGTTTTGCAAGTAATTCTTTACTATTTAGTCATTCAAATTCTTCCTCTCATTTGATAATGAGAAGCAAGCCTGTGGAGGCATGTCCATCAATCCTCAAAGTACACCCTACCAGCTCCTAGACCATTCTGCCCCTTTTCACTAACTAGTCTGCCCTGTATTAGTAAGAGCAACATGTACAGGGGCGCCTGGGTGGCTCAGTCATTAAGCGTCTGCCTCCGGCTCAGGTCATGATCCCGGGGTCCTGGGATCGAGCCCCGCATCGGGCTCCCTGCTCGGCGGGAAGTCTGCTTCTCCCTCTCCCACTCCCCCTGCTTGTGTTCTCTCTCTCACTGTGTCTCTCTCTGTCAAATAAACAAGTAAAATCTTAAAAAAAAAAAAGAGTAACATGTACAGTATACACTAGAAGGCATGGAACTAAAAGAGTGAAGATACAAATATCTATTACTGTGTAGCATTTCGTAAAAGATGACCTTCTTCAAAATTCAGCTTATTCAGCCTTCAATAATAGCACAGTGTCCTCTTTTGTAGACATCATAGACAAGTGAAGAGCTTTAACTTCTTCACATAAGAGTGTCTGACCATCGATATCCCCCAGTTGAAGGGCCTCTTGTTCGGCCTCTGTCCCTCTCTGCCATATGTAACACTGGTGGTGCCTTGCTCTTCCTCAGATGTTCTCCCACCTTCATTTTGCTGCCAGCGTGCTCTCAGTTTTCTACCTATCTTTCACATTTCTCTTCCTCCACTTTCCTCATCATGCGTGTTCCCTAACTTTTGCAGTCAACAAACAGGCACAGAGGGGAGGATACAGAGATGAATGGCACCATCCTTGTCCTGGGGTGACTTTTAGGCTTGTAGACAGAGATGAGCATGACATTAGATAAGTGGACTTGTATGTTATTGGTGACTCTGAGTTCCCTGAAGTAAGGAATTATTTATCTTTCTCTCACTACTAAAGTCTTCTGAAAAAAAAAAAAAAAAAAAAGGCTCTTGTATATCTGTGGCTACAACATCTCGTAGCAATAATTATCTCTCCCCCTGCCCCCAGTCGGGTTGCTTTCACAGGATCAGAGAATTTCAGAACTCTCCTTTCACAGGTAAGTCATCTGAACCTAGAGAGAGGAAGTCACCTGCCCGTGGCCACAAGGTTTGTTAAGTGGCAAAACTGGACCAGAACCAGACCTCCGGGCTCCCACTGCTCCTGCTGTCAAACCTTGTAGCAGCTCTTTGTGGGCTGAATTTTCCATGTTAATCCATAAGTAACTTTATACTCAGTGACAAAACGGTTTGGTATTTCCCTCCTGTTCCACAGAGGGGACAGCATGGCCTGCAGATCTGAATAGGAGCAAAAATTCACACCTCTCTTGACAGAGCAAACAAATTCTTCAGGTTCCATGTCAGTTTGTGGAAGATTCGCTCTGAAAGCCAGTGACCTCTGGCCTCCAGGCTGGAGAAGTGGTTCTAAGTCCATTAAAATTCATGCTTGGAGCCTGATGGATCATAGGGGAGCTGTTGTAACAGAAATCATTCCTGAGGTCACACGGTGCATTAACCCCCTTGCTCCTCATCACAGTGATGACGGCTCAGATAAACAAACGTGGATTTAATGAATCCTCAGATAAAAAAGTCTATCTGGGAAAAGGGTGAATGCTCTCCCCCAAGGCTGCCTGATGCAGGACATAGTATGGAAGAGCAAAGATTGACAGAAACCTGATAATATTTGCTTTTCCAGTGGTAAAGGTGACATGCAGATATCTGTGACCAAGTAAGGAAATGGGAGAGAAAAAAGCAAGGGAAGGGAAGGAAGTGGGGGGAAGGGGAGGAGCTGGGAGGGGAAGGAGGGGAGGGAAGGAATGGGGAGAGCAAGAGAGAGGAGGGGAGATATACAAGAGCCAAGATACTTGGAGGGAAAGGAGGGAGGGAAGGAGAGAGAGAAAGAAAGAAAAGGAAGGAAGGAAGGAAGGAAGGAAGGAAGGAAGGAAGGAAGGAAGGAAGGAAGGAAGGGAGGGAGGAAGGAAGGAAAGGAGAAAATGGCAAGAAGGAAAACTGTTTTCACCAGACTGACGCCTGTCAGATAAAAGAGACTGGAGCCATAAATTTCTCCCAGCGTTTCTAACAGGATTTTAATACAGCATTTGGCCATCATCTTTTTTTCATTCCTTTAATGACATACATGCCTGAAGTGTAGCCACGGAGCCTCTGAACTCTGTATATTTCTGTAATATACAAAGAAAACAGCCGTCACATCCATTTTAAGGAAATTTTAAATACATTACACTGAGGTCTATAGGCCCCGGATCTGAAGGGAACTGCACAAAGCCTGTCTGTACATCATCTGTGACGGGCCTGAATTCCAGCCAAGGCGGGGTTTTTTTTGTTTTGTTTTTTGTTTTTTTAAAATAATAAAATAAAATACTGTGTTTTTTTAAAAGGAACATTATATTTTTAAACTGGAAATCATTGTATTTTGTATCTTATGTGGCATCTGAAAGTGATTTAGTTGAACAATGTGGTTTCTGATTGGTATTTGAATTGGTTCCAGAACATTTTTCATAATAACCATCTTAAAGATCCCAATTATCTGATCCTCTTTCCCCCCTTCACATGGTTTCATAGGATGTTTCCAGAGAAAAAGAGAAACCTGCAGGGACAGGGAAACCAACTCACATCTAGCTGAGCCGTGTTTGCCTGCTAGGCTCAAAGGGAAAGGCTTGCTAGTTATTCTAAGTTGTCCAGGATGCATTTATGACTCCATAAAGGAGGCCTTGGCATTACCAGAATAATTACTTACTCAAACAAGCCCATAAAACCAAAGCATTGCCCCAACTAAAAGGCAAGCAGGGAACTTTTTCCTTTTAGTGTTAACATGTAAATCTAGTAAACTGTATTTAGATTTCTATGAAATCAGCTCTGGATGCAAAAATGGATACTTGATTTACCAGGTGGGCAGCTGAATCAATTCCCCAGGGTTACAGAGGGGCTAAGGGAAGGCAGTCCTGTTAAATATGAAAGAGCACTCGCTCATAAATGGACCCAGCCAGTAACATGCCGAAATTGTGTGGAGGGTAAGAGAGCAGGTCCTGGGGTCAGCTGGGTCCGATGCCGTCTCCACCACTATCGAATGGTGATCCATATTCTTTGTGTCTCATCTGTAAAGTAGAGATTGGAAGAAATGAATAGAATAATACATGTGATCAGCTTAGAGCAAGACCTTGTATATAGTGGCACAGTAGTAGCTCTTATTATTGGAAGTAATAGATCTTATTGCAATAAACAGTAGCTTTTATTATTACATATATTAATAATGCAAATAAATATTTTTTGAGCACTGAGGGTCAGCGCATAGTACCCAATGCTATACTAAGCATTTCAAATATGATCTTTCATATAATCCTCTCAAGGTAAAATTCATATCTCAGGTGAAGATTCTAGTAACTGGCAGAACTAGACAGAGAGCTACCAGATTTACCACTTAAAACCATGGGATACCCAGCTAAATTTGAATGTAAACAGGAAGTAATTTTTTAGAATAAACATGTTCCAAATATTGCATGAAACATGCATATGTATCCGGCAACCTAATTAGAAATCAAGCCCCCAGATCTATCTTATCAGGCCCTTGCTCTTTTTTTCTTCATACACAAAGAAAGTTATATCCAGGATATAACTTATTCCTTGTATGTTTTATTCTCTAGTATTTTTTCCCAACCAGAAGTTTCTTAGATAAGAAACAATCCAGAATGTATGTGGTTACCAACTATCAGGAAAAGCGAAATGCCAAAGACGATCAAGCTAACCCAGGGGGGCCAAGTGTAGAAGTTGTACGTCAAGCCCCATGTCCTGGAGATTATGATCTGAAAGCACGGCAGCAATTATTGAAAGCACTTAAAAACAAAGTGGCAAAATAACATTTTAGACTGAGAAAAAATATCTTTGCATCATAATGAGCAGCCAGAAATTGTGCTTAACATGTTTAATTTTTTTCTTAATGGTATGGATTAATAATCTGATTCACTCTTTCAACAAAAATTGATTGTCTTTATATCAAGTTACCATGTAGATGCTGAAGGAACAAAACAGATGCTGTCCGAGGGGCACATGGGTGGCTCAGTCAAGTTAAGCGTCTGCCTTCGGCTCAGGTCATGATCCCAGGGTCCTGGGATCAAGCCCCGCATCACTGGGCTCCCTGCTCAGTGGGGAGCCTGCTTCTCCCTCTCCCTCTGTAGCTCCCCCTGCTTGTGTGCTGTCTCTCTCTGTCAAATAAATAAATAAAATCTTTAAAAAAAAAAAAAACAAACAAAACACAAATGCTGTCACTGTTCTCACAGAATTTACACTTTAGTGAAGGGAACTTAAGTGATTAAACACAAAATCAAATATAAAGTTGCAATCATCACAAGATTTACGGAAGAAGAGTACACAGTGAGATGAGTCCATAGAGGGGCCCTGGAGTTCAGAGAAGCTTTCCATGAAATAGGCAGATTTCTCGGTGACCTGAGCTAAGATCTAAAGAATGAACATGATTTGACCAGAAAGTGTTCGTGGAACAATTAATAATGTGTGCAAAGTGCCATAAAAGAAGGGAACATGGCAAATATGAAGAACTGACAGAATATCTCTTCAGCCGATGGGGAGAGGTGAGGTCTGAGCAGTATTGGGAGTAGATGGGGCAGGAAATGTAACATATTAGTTACAGTAGACCAGTCCTCAGCAACACATGGGCCCAACCACATCATGGCTCAAGACGATAAATGCTTGTTTCTCTCTCATATAACATCTCAAGGCAATTCCAGGTTAGAGGTGGTGAAAGGGGATCCTAGGGAATCCATTGTCAGAGATTCATGCTAGCACTTCTCTGTTGTCTTCAACACGTGGCTTTCAAAGTCAACATAAGTCTTGCCGTCCCAGTCATCTGGAAAGGTCATGAACATGCCTGTCAGAGATTCTTATGGCCTGGGCCTGAAAGTAGAACAATATCACCTTTGCTCACATTCCATTAGCTAAACTCAGTCACGTGGTTACCCCTAAGATCTGCAAAATGTCTGTGTCACAGGAGGAAGAGGAATGGGTATTATTAACAGCTTGCACTGTCTGCCACAGGAGGTAGAACCAGATGATACGGAATTTTAGTTTTACCTCAAGACCAGTGAAAATCTATTGAGGGAATTTGAGCAAAAAGGAGTGAGGTGATCTGATATGTATTTGGAAAAGATGATTCTGGCAACAAACTGGAGAACAGTTTTAGTATATGTGCTGCCGAAGCAAGCACCAAATTGGAGAACAGATGAGAAAGGTACCAGAGTGGTTGTAGGGAGATCATATATTTGAGGAGAACATTCTAGCACTTTAGGCCAGACCTTGTGGTAGCATGGAATAGAGTAGTTGGTGGTGCTAGAAATAGGGAGAAGTAGATGGAGGCATTAGCACCAGGCGACCAAGCAGTGGCTAGAGAACAACGGACAAATATCTAATAAGCCTATTTTCTTTGTTAAACTGTTTTCTACTTCCTGTTATCCCCCAGCTCTCCTTTTGTACCCCTAGGCTCCTCAATCAGCATTGGTAACAATGAAGATGTAAGAATCATCATAAAGAATTCCTTGAATTTGGAAAAAGTTTTCAAAAGGGCTTTAAAGAACCTTTGGACTGAGTCCCTAGGGTATGAATTGGTTTAGCACAGCCTGGCTTTTTTTTTTTTTGAATACCAAGCAAGTAAAATGAAGTTAAAAAAAAAAAAATTTTTTTAAGATTTTATTTATTTATTTGAGAGAAAGAGTGAGCACGAATGAGGGTGCAGAGGGAAATGGAGAAGCAGACTTCCCATCGAGCAGGGAGCCTGCTGAGGGGCTCAATCCCAGGATCCTGGGACCACGACCTGAGCTGAAGGCAGATGCTTAACAGACTGAGCCACCCAGGCCCCCCTAAAAATGTTTTTAAAAACATAACACTGGAATGAGCATAAGGCAGGAATCAGAAAACACAGGACCCTTGTGTCACTGTTTGATTATTATCTTATGCATAAAATGAGGACAATAATACCTACACATCCTACCCCTTTGCTTTGGATGTTGTGAGAATGAAATGCCGTGGAAATGGCTTACACTGAGGTGCACAGTGGTTCATATTAACAGGGCTCCCTGGTGTTTGAAGTTCTGTAATGGCTTGCTCAAACTATTTAAGCAGACATTCATCAAAGTATTTTCACATAAAATAAAGAATTGCATGTTCAAAGCCTGTTCATTCTTTCCTTGTTTTTACTGCTACCTAATATAACAGTAAGCAAAAGTTATTTGCCTAGTATAAAAGGCTAAACAAACACAAGACATATAAGCATATTATTTAGTGTGCTGTTTAATTGAAGAGTTGAGAGCTCATTGATTGATTTTACTAGTGTGAAAGAGGTAGCTGCTCAACCTGATCTTCCTCATGGCTACCAAACCTAAACTACTCCCTTAGTCATCTAGTAAGCTGAAAATAGTAGTAGGAAAGGGCACTGGGTGGCTCAGTGGGTCCAACCCTTGATTTTGGCTCAGGTTGTGATCTCAGGGTCGAGGGATCAAGCCCCGCATTGGCCTCTTCGCTGGGCATGGAGCCTGCCTAAGATTCTCTCTCTCCCTCTCCCACCCACACCCTCTGTCCCTAAAAAAGGGGGGAAAATAGTAGTAGGTAACACTTAAATGCCAAGCACTGTTCTAAGTAATGTGTGTATATAAATGCTCACACTATGCACACATATATATCAATATGACTATGCCCCTCCCCACAATCCTACCTAGAGGATACCATGATCACCATATCCAGTTTCTAGGTGAAGAAACTGAGGCACTTACAGGCTAAGAAACTTGCCCAGAGTCACAAAGCTAATGAAGAGCTGAGTCAGAATTCGAATTTTGGCACCTCAACTCCAGAGTACATGCTCCTTAATCCCATAGTGCTGCATTTCTGTAATGTTCTAAATGCTGAATAAAGTGCTATATTCTGCCCCTATTAAGATTATCCTCATTCTAGGGGCACCTGGGTGGCTCAGTCGGTTAAACGCCTGCCTTCAGCTCAGGTCATGATCTCAGGGTCCTGGGATCCAGCCTCATGTCAGGCTCCCTGCTCAGTGGGGAGTCTGCTTCTCCCTCTCCCTCTGCCCCTCCCTCTTCCCCTGACTCATGCTCTCTCTCTCTTATAAATAAATAAAATCTTTTAAAAAAGATTATCCTCATTCTAGTTATTGCATTGTTTTCTCTAGAAGAATTTTCACTGACAGTCATCTGACTAAATTACTCCAAGAATTACCACTTGGCCCCATAGCTATTTAAGTGAGGCTAGTAAGATAATCCCAGATGGGTGGGGGAACTGGAAAATTCCACAAGGAACTGCAGCCAGTTAAAGTCTTGCCCGGCAAGGAGCTGGTTGCTGTCACAAAGTAGCTATGTCCACGTGACAAATTCCAGGGCCCACCAATGTGCAGAGACAAGGAAGTAAGGATTCAAGCCTTCCTTTTCTGGTGTCCACTGTCTTATAGATGGTTATAGAGAAGGCAGTACTTGAACTGAATCTTGGAAGTTTAATAGATACTCATTGAATTGACAAAGGGGAAGTGATTTCACCTAAAGCAAAGAAAGAAATAGCACAGAAGGGAGAGGGCAAGGGCTAGCAACTACGAGAAGAAGATGCCAGAAGCCAGGTCATGCGGGGCTTCGTTGAATGTGGTAAACTTATTCTGTGTAGCTCCAGGAGCCACTGAAGGGTTTTAAGCAGATGGATGATAAGTTTCGAATATCAGAGAAAGTATTAGGGTTAGGGGAAAGATTATGGTTTCAGCCTTGGGTTTCTGAGTTTGAGAAAGTCAAACTGAGGGAAATCCGGTGTAAGTGTTCTGTGGGCAAAGGGACATGAAGTTTACAGTTTAGAAGAGAGCTTTGAGCAAGAAACAGATTTGGGAGGCGACCGCAGTTAACTGGCAACTGAAGCCATGACCATAAAATGAGATTTTCCAAGCGAAAATAGACAAAAAGACAGAGGATAGAGATTGGGACCCTGAGGTCCACATTTGAGGGTGGTGGACAGATGAAGAATGAGCCTGGGGAGAGGCAACAAGTCAGGGGAATTACATGAGCAGGGCATACGCCAAGGGAGGAGGGAGCATTATTGAAAAGGGTGTGGGCAAAAAAGATGTCTCAGAGCGGTCAAATGAGGTGAGGGCTGAAAAACCCTTCTACTTCAATGGAGTGACAGGGCCAGCTCCTAATGGCAGGAGGTGAAAAGTGACCCCGAGGTTAGGAAATGAAATGAGAGAACAGGTGGAGAGGTTTCTGAGGAAGGAGAGGCAGAGGCAGCAACTTGGCAGCCATTCCACGGTCTGCTTCTCAGGGGCCCGGTTTCCTCAAGAAGCTGGGAAGAGACACAAGGCTCCATAGCCTTGTCTCTGACAGCCTCTTAGAACAGATGAGCGTTCCAGACACTTCCCCAGCTGGAGTTTCATGTGGGATTCCAGCAATCAATTTTTAGGATGATTTTCCAAATCCCAAAACATTGGACCCTACTTTGGGCCTCCGTTACCTAATATCTAGGGAGCACATGTGACGGCCTCAGAAGGCAGGGTCTTTGGTGTGTCAGGAGGAGCCCGCTGACTGAACTGAGTCTTCATGTTGTTATAAAACCCAGGTAATTTCATAGGCTGCAAGGAATTCTCACTGATTAGTTTTACTTTCCTCTATTAGTAAGTTTAGTTCATAATGATCATGCAACCTCAGGGGTATGACTTAAGACAAAAATATTCAAAGGAAACCCAGCTCTGTAGAGATTTCTCAGCTCGCCTTTCCCCGTGTTTAAAATTTCATGGTTTGTTATCTCCACCCCACCCCTCCCTTGTGTCATCTTGGACATGTCAGTTAATTTTGCAGGATCTCCCTGGCCTCATCTGTCTAAAAAGGGGACTGGACAAGATGCTGAATAAAACCATATTATTCTACACCAGGGGTCAGCAAACTTTTGCTATAAAAAGCCAGGTAATAAACACGTTTGGCTTTGCAGGCCATGTGGGCTCTGTTGCAACCACTCAGCTCTGCTGTCATAACACTAAAGCAGCCACAGACAATATATAAACAAATGAACATGGCTGTGTTCTGATAAAACTTCATTTACAAAAACAAACAGTGGGCCAGATTTGGTCTTCAGGCTGCAGTTTGCCAATTCCTATTCTAAGCTTTAAAATTAAGTCCTTCAATTTACTAAGCTGGATCTCTTAGACTCACGTATTAAAATA